TTTTTATATCAAAGTAAAGCTAAGAATTTGTATTTTAACATAGATTTTTTAAATCTAATTTCAATATTTCTAATTGTAAAGTTGATTATACAAACTTTTATAATTAAAATTTTGTATAATCAACTTAACAATCAGAAATATTCTTGAAATTAAATTTAAAACAAAAAATATTTACTAATAAAAATAAAAATTTTATTAAAGAAAATTTCAATTTTTACTATTTTTTTGGATTATCGTAAGGATATGTATTTGTATCTCAAAATTGGCTTGACAATACTAACAATCTTATTGGATTTATATTGCAATTGATCGTCAATTTTAGCCAATGAAAATGAAGATAAATTTCATAGTAAACAAATCCGCCGACATATTCAGTTGATTAAACTCTATTCCTCTAGAATTTATCCATTAAATACAATTAAGAGTGGAAAGTTCATTATACATTTTTATATAACTGATATTAATAATGTAGTAATAAAAAACAAATTAGAAAAAAATTGTAAACTTTTTAAATAAAAGAAAAAAAGCAATAAAAATTTACATTATAACAATAATAATAATATTAATAATGAATTACCCTCCAAATATATACAGCAAACGATTTAATATAAATTTTTTTAATATAATAATAAATAATACGTAAACCTATACCGTCCAGATTATATTATATTTTCATATAAAAAAGTAAATATGCAAGCCGATCGGTCGCATTTGTCGAGTTTTCTGTAACGACGACATCTTCGGCAGTAATTGGCGTGATTGTGGTGTCATCTACATGTAACCATTGATTATTTTGTCGTAAAATATCGCAGGTATAATGACCGCCAGTTGCAGATTTTCCATGATGGTATACAACTAATTTTTAATAACAAAGAAAGTAAAATAGCCAAATTTAGATATTATTGAAGAAGCTATCAAAATAAACTGAAACTAACCTCCTATTAGTTGATATGTTATTGGACTGCGTTGTTTTTTATTCTGCGTTATGATCTCTATTAATTATTAAGTATTGATTAAAAGATGGTTGAAATAGATGAAACTTTTAGACAATTATAGATACCTGATTGTATATTAAGCAGCGTCGAATATCCAACAGTTTTATGAAGTTTTTGGGTCCCGCCGACATTATCATATACAAATCGTTTTAGATGAAGGATAAGAATTGGTGGTAGTATATCCAAATATAACCTTTTGTGGGCTTCAACCTTTTGATAAAAAATCAATAGCAAAATAAACATAATGGTTTATGTAGATACAAGAGTTCCGAATCGAACCTCAAACTTACCATTGCACCTTTTTTTGAATAATAATCATGAACTATTTCTGGTTCAATCATTTTCATCAGAGCCCCCTCTACAGTACGAACGTCATCAGGCTATAAAAATAGAAAGCACTCCATATTAATAATAGAATATCAAATTATAAATTACCGATCCAAGAGATATCATTATAAAATCACCTGTATATCCAACTGTAATGATGAAAACGGTTGATAGGTAACCGAATCCAAACTTCCCGGACATTTCAAGACAGACCTTACTTGACCACCAAATATTCTGCTGATTGGAGATTCCTATGTAATAATTAAATAAGTAATGTATTTTTATTTAAAATAACGCCAATGTAATAAATAATACGAACCAAACGAGCGCTAGTAGCCTTGTTTTTTGGTCCAACCTCATACCAACCATCATTGGTTGGTTTACTGACATTCGAATGTGTCGATTCTCCTGGGATATTTTTGTGACCCGCAGTGTCTCGGGAATCAGGACCCTTGAATGCTATAATAGATTGTATATTTTTAACTCTTATAAATAATTACAGTCAAAGCTCGATATAATGATGGTGGTCGGGAACATGTAGTAAAAAATTCTGCAAATATCATTATATCGAAAATTTATTACATCGAGGAAATTTTATTATAAGTTTTTTTGGGTTGTCATTATTATATCGAATTTTGACTGTATATGAGAATTTATTAATAATTAATGATTGTTTTATACCTGCTAATAGTTCTTCATGAAGACCATCTAATAAAAAGCCAAGAAATTCTTCTGCGTCTTCTTGACGGCCCTTTTAATAATTTCATTACATTATTATGTAATACGAGTACTTTTATTTTATTTTATTTAATTATATTTTACCTTCATCGAGTCAAATTTTTTTGCTCCACGTAGCGCATCATATACATATTCTGGAACAAACGGTTCTCCAAAATCTGTATGAATTATTTGAATAGCGTATAAATGCCATATGTTCAGGATAGTTTAATTATCCTAAATTAAGTATATATACATACCCTCATCGAGACCATCGATTTTAGCCTCACGAAATTCTCTCATGAACTCGATTCTAATTGTATTAATAGGAAAATCGTGTAAATTTGATGTATATTAGTACGCAAATGAAAGTCAAATTAAAAAGAACTTACAAAGAGTCAACCAAAGGTGTTTTACTATTAAAACTATGGGCAACTTCGTTGCCTATTCGTATTAATAAGTTATAGAATGGTGGACAGTGTGATAAAGGTTGTAAGATCTAAATAGAAAAAGATAAAATTGAGAAATAACTCGAAGATCATCCGGATTCAAAGAAATTAGATATAACGTATACCGCATTCATGAAACAAGTGTTGCCGTTATTCACAAGTCCTCGAGGCTGCAACAGTCGATTGCTGAATGTTGGTTGAAAATTAAGCAACACATCTGTAATGGATATTTATTGAGTTTGTCATTAGTATTATTTCAATTTATTCATCAATTAAAAAGATTAATGATACTAACCAGAGAGAGCTTCAACCTTTGGTTTCCCGTTAGCCGAAGAAACAATTGATTTTGGTTGTTTGTTTTGATTTATGTGCTTATTAACTGAAGAATTTGATGCAGCGGTGGCACCTTTCTGAGGATTTTCAGGACTGGTCTTAAGAATGTCTGCCCAACTTCTCTGTGGTTGCTTAACAGTGGGTGTCGAGGAAAGATTTTCACTTGTAGAAAATGATGATGAAACGCTGGAATCTGTCTCATTTTGATGCCTATTATTTTGTTTCTGCTCGGTAGAGACCATAGGTGATTTTGGTGGTGATGTTGAACGATTAGAACCACTTTGAAGATCATTGAGTTCTTTCTTCTCATTAAAAACTAAGGGGGAAGGAGACTTTGGTGATAATGTGCGAATCGAGCCGTTTGAGCTATTGGGTGAATTTCGAGACGAGTGGCTGTTATTTGGAAGATTATTAGTTTTAATCTTTAGAGAAGAATCTCTTGAAGATATCTTTGAAGTATTTGTTGTATTTGATTCGACTGTTGAATTTAAAATGTTTGGAGTTTTTTGATGCGATTGAAAATAATTAACACCATTAAAATTGTTTGATGACATTTCTCTAGTAGGGATATTGACAACCTTAGATTTGATTGAAGATAATTCTTTGGAAGGGATATTGACACCATTAGGTTTGATCGCCGGTAAATGACTAACAGGAAGATTAACACCATTATATTTTATCGATGGTGATACGTTATTAACATTTGAAATATTTCTAGGAGTTGCCGAGTTAAGCTCAGGTGATGTCGTTTGATGAGCTTTCGGACCATTATCATCAAGTACTGGTTTGTTTATGGATAGATTTCCATTGGAAAATTTGTTGGTTTCATTCCCGAGGTCACAATTGACTTTAGTGCTTGTATCCGAAGGTAATATTGTTGATGGAATTCCATTCGGAATTTTAGAACTGTGAGACGGATGTTGTGTTTCAACTCGATTTTTTGATTCCTTAGAAGGAAGGGATTTTATTCCATTAGGATGGGTCTAATTTCAAAAGATGAATAATTTTAGAAATAATTAGTGGTACAAAACAAAAAAAAATAAAAAATAATTCTAATTATATGAACATTTGTATTTCTCTATTTATTAACCTGTTGAATCGACGTCGAATTTTTTGGAGTTGTTCCGATCGGCTTAATACCACCTTGATGTTCTGAGATGGGTTTGAAAAAATAATTAATGTAATTTTAGGTATAATGAGAATATATGATTATGCATATATTGTACCTTTTGAATGCTCTAATTTTCCTGCCCTCCAAGGAACCTAAAATTATTAATATATATAATATTAACATAATTTTTTAAAATCATTTCTGATGCTACGGTAATTAAGTTAGAATTTTCTTTTGCTTACCCAGATCTCATTTAGCCACCGGCCAGAAGTAATGCTATTGTAATAAAAGTATGCGTTGGAAAGTCCATATATCTCACTCACTTGACAGAAAATATGGTATTGGCCGGTGGAAAATGAGACCCGAAGAGAATATCTGGATATTTCAATTCTTTTCTGAAATGAAATAACGCAAACTTACCGTTTTCGCAACTTGAAAGCCACCATATGCCATAAACATGTCGATCTCCTCGCGAGACAAGTTGCCGAAACTTGGCCGCTTTGTTTTAAATAGTTGCAATAAATTTTTTATAAGCTTCTGACTTGTGTTTAATCCATTACAGGAGACTCAAAGAATGGGCGAACAAACCTTTTGAGGATCTCGTCCATGCAAAAGCTTAAATTCCATTTGAATATTTCGGCTTTACAAAAGTACCGTGAGGGGTATTGTGAAGCCTCAAAGAAATCTTGACACTATCAAACAAGTAACTTTGTATGATTCTGAAATGAGCTAGAGATTTCGGTAGATGTCTTTAAGGTGTAATGAGCGAAAACTACAACAAAATAATCTTGGCAAAAGAATAATGAACTAAACATAGATTTGGATTTTTTATTTTCATCATCACTGATTAGACTTGAAGCGGATGTTGTACGACACTACGCTTGATCGGCATATACATATACCGTAGTATGGAGCCAAATTTTGTTTATTTTTGATGAAATGCAGCATTATATCAAGTTAACAATTAACAATACAAGAGACGCAAACGCATACAATCAAAAGAAAAAGATCACGAGACAAAATGTCTTCTTTAGCGGAAAAGACAAACTTCAGATAGTCAGATGGTATGGTTTCTTAAACGTACTATTCTTGTGTCATAGGAAAGAGCAATTGTAAGAATGATGAGGAGACTTGGTAGATATTACGTGATTTGTCGTTGCCATTGAGTTACACTGTAAATACTGGGAAAAAGCAGAGAATCGAATCACGTAATAAGCATTCATTCATTAGTTCGAAACAAGTTAAAATACAAACGAAAAATAATAATAATGATTTGCACATTAATTATTTCTGTAATATCGCAAGTTAACGCGTGATTCTTTTCGGTTGGTGTTTTTATATTGCCTACTCAATATGCGATCAATGAAATGAAAACAGTTTCGCTGATGATTGGGAAGAATTAAAATTTGTTGATGTTTTACAGAAAGTTTAGTTATTGCCTTTCTTTTATTTTCCAACATTATGGTGCATAAAATCTAAAGTCATCAAACGTTTGTATTTTACAAAATGTATAAACTTCTTTACTAAGAAGTAAATACAAAATTTAATCCGTGAATATGCTCAGAAAAAGCCTATTCTATCATATTCACGGATTAAATTTTGTATTTACTTCTTAGTAAAGAAGTTTATACATTTTGTAAAATACAAACGCTTGATGACTTTAGATTTTATGCACCATAACAGGACATAAATCATCTACCACATGAAATTGAATATTCCGTACGTTTTTTTTCGTTTCAAGTAAGCTAAAATTATACAGTTTATGCACAACACAGGAAAAACTTGACGCGAGAAATAATCAATTGTTTGTAATCACACTAACCTTGATTGTTTGTAAAATATTTGATTTCACCCAATTAATTACATCATTATGCATCACATTAAAATGTAACGATAAAGGAATTTTTGTATTCTTATACATAATTATTACATTATTTCTAACATTTTTATCTTGATCCAAATCATATAAAATTCTTATTTTCAAAATAAATGTGAAATTGTTAATATAACTGATAATCTTTTTAATTATTGATTCAAATTAGTTTAAAAAATTCAATTATGTAATTTGAATTAATATTTATAGAAAATTTTTTAAAAATAATTATATAATTAAACCTTGATATGATTATTATCTTATATAGCAATATTTGATTATGAAAAACTTTTAAGCTTGGATTAATTATCATATAAAATCACATAATTATATTCTTTTCAATAACCAATTATAATAAAATCATTCTTATAATTACATTTATAATAAAATTTTATTACAATTATATTCATGAAAAAAATTATTATGGTATATAACATCTAAAATCATTGAAAATTTGTATTTTATAAAATATATAAATTTCTTTACTAAGTAAATACAAAATTTACTTTACGAATATTTTCAAAAAAGATTTATTCTATTATATTTACAAATTAAATTTTGTATTTACATCTTAGTAAAGAAGTTTATATATTTATAAAATAAAAATACTTGATATTATATATTATATATCATATTGAATTCAATAATATAATTATAGAAAGAATTAATTATATATATATATTCAACTATTATATTTTTTAATTTTTAAGTTTTATAAATTAAATATATTTAATTAAATAATATTAAATTATATTATTTTAACTTGTTCATAAATAAAAATAATAAATAAAAGTAATAATTAATAAATAATTAATAAATATATTTAATTAAAATTAAACTAAATTTAATTTATTAAAACAAAAGTAAAATATAAGAAAATATTTTTCAAAATTGAATAACTTGCAAAAAAATCAAACAAATAATAATTAATTTACGTAATTATTATTTAATTGGATAATTTAATATAATTATTTTATTAAATAATTAATATCAAAAAATTTTTATATTTAATTATAATTAATTATTATCTAATAATCAACTATTATTAATTGTTAATAATTAATTATAATAAATTGTAATCAGATATAATTAATAATTATTAAAATCAAATATAATCATTTTTTGTTTAAAGTTAGTAATTATCTATAATCAATAATTATTGATTTTAATTATTATTTATCATTCATTTGATTATAATTAATTAAGCTTATATATTCATCAAGAAACTTGTATATAATTAATAATTAATAATCAATTATTATTAATTATTAACAGTCACAGGACATGTTTCCGTGGTTGATTTTTGATAATAAATTTTTTCATGTAACATGCTATACTGTAACTTCCGCGTGAACATACTTCAATTGGTATATAAAAAATGGTCTTTTGACCCTCGACAAGTATGAATCTCCATGCCTTAAACTTTCATTTCATACTAGAAACAGGTATGTTTGCGCGACTATATTCCAGCGAAAATTTGACACGAAAAATAGCGTTTTTTTAGCTAAATGCTAAGATCT